ATTATGTTTTTTTTTTTCAGATGTTCGGGTCGGGCCGCAGGCGTGAGTTGAGTTGCTGTGGTGGTGGTCGTGGATTCGGCTCAGCTGGCCGTTTTGTGGACTTTTGGATATACTCAGTTTGTATATAATTTTGCCACGCTTTACATTTCCGCTGACGTTATTTTCAGAATCAAACTTGCATGCTAGTTTTCAGATTTTATCGGATCTCTAGGCAGGTCTGGTTGAGCTAGTTTGATTAGATTATATATATCTGTTTTCCTTATGTCTAAACCAGTATTTAGACCCAGTTGAAGAAAAACAGATTTTCAGAGTAGATAAATTTAGTAGCATCCCGAATTAAGTTAAATAATTTTGAAAAATTTATATGTATTTTCGAAATAAAGTTGAAAAAAAAAAATTACTCTGATACTAGTAAGTTAGCGGGGTGTTACAGGTTGGCTCGCCTAACTAAAAAAAACAGTTGTAAAGGAGGAATCCGTATGAACGTCGACCATCGCCAGTGCTTGCCCTTACCTCGTTGCTGTCGGCACTCGGCATCGTCGCGGCTGGCCACCGATACGTGCACGGCTAGGGCTTATGTCCAACCGCAGTGCAAGAGTAGTTATCTTTGCTCTTGGAGGCGAGCGGCGGAGGCTCGAGGGAACTCTCGCTTCCAAAAATTCGAGCTTTGAGCTGGCGTCCGCCATGAATAGAAAAAATATGAACCGCTTGGAGGCGAGCGGCGGTGGCTCGAAGGATCTCCGGCTTCCAGAAATTCGAGCTTTGAACTCGCGTCCACCATTATAGGCTAACGAATTGAAAAAAAAATATGCCGCTTAGAGTCGAGCGGCAGTGGCTCAAAGGATCTCTGAATTTTGAGCTTTGAGCTTGTGTCTGTTGTTAATGGCAGACAAATTAAAATATATATATATATATATATATATATATATATATATTGACAGCCTATTGAGAGTTGGAATTTATGGTGTTGCCAGCCTGGCGTTAAGTGGGGATTGGAATTTTTGTTGGGAAGAGAGATTATTTTTTAGAGTTGTCCAATTTTATAGGATATAGGTTTTTTATTCTTTTAACCAATATTAACTCCAATATCTATGTTAATTTAGGGTCACGCTCCAGCGAGAGTGGTGTTCAGTGAGAGAAATTAGAATACATCACAGCCGTTGGATCGCATGATCCAACAGCTTATAAAAAAAGGCCAAAAATATACCTTCATTAAGGGCATTGTAGTAAGTTTCTATACTACATGCAAATAAATGGGTCTCACTCCATATTAAATAAACCTGCCACCTACCACCCACCCAACCACCCAACTACCTCTCTCTCTCTCATTGATTACTTTCTCTCCCCGTCACACACACTGTCTCTCAATTACACACACACGCACACATCACACAGTAACGAGGCGGCCTCCGCCACAACCATAGGTCGGCCTCTGGCCATCGCCGGCAACCACCCCCTATGCCGCCGCCGCCAGTGCCACCACCGCGACTGTCTTCCTCTGCCACTCACACACACACACACACTCGACGCACACACTCCGACCGGCGACTCAGCGACCATCTCCGGCGACACAACAACCATCTCCGGCGTCTCAGCGACCATCTCCGGTGACACAACAACCTTCTCCGCAACCTCCGCAGACGAGATCGTTTTCCCCCGATCGTCCCAACTCCACCGCCGGCATCACCATCCCCTCCACCGCGGCCGCCCACCAATAAACAAACCAAAGCCGCCGCCGCGTCTCCCTATCCCATGCCCCGACCTGCTATATCTTACAACACCCTCCGTTCACTTCCAATTTCGCCGCACACGCTCGTCGTATGAACCCTAGGTCTGTCGATTTTAACCACACCCACTACCAGACACTGTCTCACAAGTGCTCCGGCGACGGTGGCAACCGGAACACTGCGACGGCGAGTCCAAATTGCAGGGGAGATGTGGGTGACTATTGTGTAGTGTATGACAGTGAAATCCAGATTTGGGGGGATTTGAGCTGAAAATTAGATAATTTAGAGGGATCTTTGATGCAATTTTAAATATTTTAATATATTTATGATATAATTGATGAGATAAAACTGCAATTAATTAAACATATAATAAATACACATTAATGTTAGTTGAAATGCACAATGTTGAATATGTATATGCACATTAAAAATGTTCCGTCTACGAAATGCACAAAATTGAAAAAAACAAAAACAAAAAACGATCGAGTCCGTCGCGATAAAATATTTCAATTTGTTTTTATGTCGGTTCAATATCGGTTTTTTAATTTTAAATTTTGGTTATTTTATTTTGAACTGATATTTTTTTTATATTTTATTTAAAGTATTATAAAATATTGAATAGAATATTAAAACACTAAATATATTTTGTAATATAAATAATAAATTTATTCAATTACTCAAATTAATTCAATTGACCGAAAAAATAATCAAATTATTTCGAGTGAGTGTAGTTTATATTTGCACATAAAAAAAATCTTATACTGAAAAATGAACAATATACAAAGTAAGATGTCACATTAGTGGCTATCAAACTGCACGATATTGTCCAATTTAGTCTATGAGAAATCTATAATTTATAAAAATATATAGAAAATTTGACTTTTATATATATATTTTATTCTTATATAATTAAAATAATAAATATATATATATATATATTATATAAGAATAATATGAAATAATAAATAAAAAATATTGAAATAATAGATATATTTTTTATAATACAAATAATAAATTATTTATCCACTAAATTTAGTTTTAAAAAAACATATAATTTTAGGGATCATGTAGAGTATTGCACTTTATATATCAACACGTTGCATTTTATAAAATGATATGTTGCATATTATCCACAAAAATATTACGCAATATAAATCTATAAAAATGGATCTACATAATACTTTAATATTCATCGCATCATATATCCACAAATAACACAAACATATTACGTACCAAAATTTTAGTATTGCACATTATATATACATACGTTGCACATTATATATCAATACGTTGCAACTTTATGACACAACACGCTGCACGTACCAAAATTATAGCAATCCTACTAATCGATCAAATAATATTAGATGGTTTAATGTCGGATTTAATTTTTTTTTAAATAAACAAAATAGCCGAACATGCTGAACTATATGAAAAATATTACCGATTTTTTTATTTATATATATATATTATATAATTATAAATAAACAAATTGACCACTATATATACACTTATTTATGTCATTGTCACTGTGTGTTTGACCATTAATTACTAAAATTGACTTCATCATGACCATTGATGTGTTGGATCCATTGGTTTAAATCCATTATTATTTCTTTCACTATCAATCATTCTCATATGATTCCTTCTATATATATATATATATATGGT